TATACTTATTCCTTGTTCTTGAGCTTCGGATTTTCCTCTCGTTGGCTCATTTAAGCCGCTTGTCTGGTTTTGTAATGAGTTCCTGTTGCCATCCTCTTCTTATATACATGCTAACTGTTTTTGCGTCAGAATAACGCTACTGCGCCTTATTAAGTAGTTTTTCTAATTCATAATTTTTTTGCCGCGGTTGACTGTGATGACGGTTTTTACTAACACGGGGCGAATTGGGAGTCAGAAATATGATTCAGCTTTCAAGTTATTTCCCTACTGATCCCAATGTCTGCTAGAAGGGTTGTCTAACGTGAAAATTTGCAGGACTACTTCATGAAATGGGTTAGGACGAGCACGGTTCTGATAGACGTCCCTCGAATTAACTTGGAAGTTTGTAGAAAGTGGGGAATAAAACCATGTTTGACGAGTAATCACATCCAGCGAATGTTCAAACATCCTAGCTCCAATCTGACCAACCTTTTCTGACCGCAGATGCGCATTCTCCCCGCCGTGTAAAGCTGTAATAAGTCCATCGACCTCGCCAACCTCATTCACAGTACCGCCACGTATCATTTACACTGTTAAAACTGAGCCCGAAACTTAACTGAACCTGACATTCAGGACATTCGTTCATGCAGGAATTGGCTTGCACCACACTCCGTGCGATCCTTTTCAGCGTCCAGTAGCATGTCGCGTCATTCATAAAGTCCTACCGCTCACAAGACGCCGACGAGCCTGCAAGGAACAGGCAATCGCAGGTGTCTCATCAACGATCCAAGCTAGAAAATCAATTGATCCCAAATGTGTTTAAGTTTGGACAGTCAGTCTACACTGCCGCAGACGCACCCCGATAGTTCAGCGGAGTCTACCACTGCGACACCAGGTCGGCGCAGTAGGGACTTGCTCGTGAATATGCACACAGTGAAGCGAACTTTCAATGTATCTACCTCATCCCATACCCGTTGCATTCTGGTGAAGAGAAAAGTCAAGGGGATCGGGGTTGCACGTGGTCGTGCTGGCTGGCAAAGCTAAACCCCGTCTACGCGTGCGACTCGTGACTTTACCCCTAGATCCGCGCGTGCCAGACTCGGTTCAGGGGGCGTCGAGCAGTTCATACAAGGGTCATATTGGGAGAGCCACTGCAGAATGACCCTCAGTCATGAGGAGGACCGAGTTTCCCACCAGCTGGTAGCCTTCCGAACCGTCAACAATTCGTGATGGTTTTGAGGCTCGTCTGTTTGTTTATAGTGGGAACTCAGTCCTGGATCGATTTCCCTCTCCCTCTACTCTCCTTCTTATCTCAATGGTCTCTCGGAGTCAAGCTGATTTGGAAAAAGGATGGGGCATGGTGGCCGATGCGACGCGACGTTACTGTCTAACGCCTGCTACACACAGAAGCTCAGGTTTCACAGGAATAAGAGGTGCCGCGAAAGTGACTTTTTAGGGATGAGCCTTTGCCATCTAACACGCCGACGGAGGACTAAATTATCCTGTCAGCCGGCAGCCTTTTAAGGCATGGATTTGAGATGTTCAAACGCGTCAGACCTACTGCTGCGAGGTATGCGTTGGCTTGCATGGAGAACGAATGATTCAGAATCGGTCTCACACCCCAATCCCCCTCAATGTGGCAGAGACCTCTCTGAGGCTGTTCGAGATGAGATTGAGCGCGGTGGTTGACTTTGCACGGGATCCTTCGTTCAATGTGAGCCATACGCACACAGATTCTCCACTTCACATGGTCGAGATGTGCACATGCTCTCCGCAGCACTCTGCCAGCTTGCATTACACGCTTGTTGTCTAGTCGGTACGCCACTCTCTTCTGTCGGTTGTCGTTTTCATGCGTGTGATCGTGTAGGCCCACGCATAGTCTAGGTGAGCTCGTACTTGCCCGTGCAGTGAGGTGGTGTGGGGGCAGCCTAGGCTGTAACATACGACCGACAAGATTCTTTAAGGGGTCCGAATGTCCTGGGGGCACTTGGCGCATGGGAAGCGTACGTAGCAAAGTTGTCGCGAGACCCCAGGCTCTGATTATCTTGTTGAGTCGCAGTGGACTTGCAGGTGACTAACTAAGCCGATGCGCTGTCGGGATGTGCGATGCAGTAGGACAGGCTGGCACTGCGTCCATACGGCAGACAGTGGGCGATGAGTGTCCTTCCGACTTTCCGACTGGTACTGGAATGCTATGTTTCCGTGAGGATAAATGGGTGACGTTCTACGGGGATGGTGCAAGGGATGCGTTTGTCGTGCTCGCATTATGATAGGGCTGGAGGTGTCCAGGACAGCCAATCACGACCTTGAACGTCAGGTGGCGGTACTGACAAATTATACAGGAGATGGGCCGACGACTATGTAGCACAATGGTTTCAAAGCCTCATCCTTTCTTCCTGTCCTCGGCGCACCTCAAAAATCGTTGATCTAAATGTTATCGTGTGGTTTAAGCCTGCTGATCCCCTGCTAGACCTTCTGAGGTTGTAGTTTGTCGTCCTTTCGTCTGCCCAACTGCGAGCACACGCGGGGATTCGTTATTACTTTAGTTGCTGGGGCAGGCATGCGTCAGCCATTCTCGCGACGTGGCAGTCGCTATCGCACTGTACGTGGACGCAGCATTTATGTTGAACTCGACCCTTTTTCCTTTCGCAAAGTCAGATTCCGAGATGTTTTCTTTCGATTTCACCTTCGGTGACCAATGGGAGGAGTTCGGGTGAAGGTTGTTCAATTTGTTTATCTGGCAGGCTGCTACCCTTTTGCCGTTCACAGCTGCTGCGCGTCGGTGTTATTTACGTTTACAGCGAACACACCCGGATGCGCCGAGCCTACAGTCTGGTCGACTGCAGCACACACACACACACACACACACACACACACACACACACGTGCTTCCAGGTATGCGCAGAGGTCCTTGCTTCATCCAGCGATAAATACCACTCGGGCGCGGAAGATTGCATTAATTCACACTAGCCCCCAAAAGCATGATCTGACCGTTTGACCGATGCAAGCTACAATGCGGCACTGGTGACCTGCACCCTAATTAGTTTATATTGAGGCAGACTTACACAGCGGCTACCGCGCTCTCTCCTCCCGCCGCCACATTGTTCCGCCAAGACGACCTGAGGTGACCTCGGGCTCAATGGATGACAAAAACTAAATAGCCAATCTACTTAGGCCGCACAAGACCTGTTCCCAACTAAATGCACCATGATATACCAAAGAACATGCTTTCCACCTAGGGGGGTCGCGCACGCTCCAATATGAGACGTTTTGTCCGCTATATAGGCTGAGAGCAAGTGGTCACGTGGGTGGCTTCTGTATTGTATGATGGGCCCACATGTGTATGTGTGCACCCCAAACGGGCCACGTGGCAGATGCACTGGACCAACACGAGGGCCATATCGGGCTCTGGCAGGCGTTATTGGGAATGCGCACCATAGCACATGCCAACATTTCGGGGTGCGGTGGCAGACGTCGCGCACACTGGAACCCATGCGGTCCTCCCCATTGTTGTTGTTATTGGTTAAAATCCTGGTTATTTGCTGTGTGGACCAGAGCCTGTGGAGTGGAGCACCAAGGTGCGGACTCGGCCGCGCCATCCACCTGCGCCCTCCCCCCCCCTCCGGTCTTTTTAACTGTCTTGACATCGAGTCCAAGTAGGGGGTGGGGAAGAGAGAGTGCTGTAGATGCAACGCAAGTCTACATTCACTATAAACTACTTCACGCACAAGTCACCGTGCCTGCTTTCAGCTTGCTGTGGAGCACGTGGTGGTCATAGTCGGTAACGACGGTCGAACAGCGGAAGGGGACATGCGAGGAAACATGAATCTCTTCTTCTTCTTCTTCTTCTTCTTCTTCTTCTTCTTCTTCTTCTTCTTCTTCTTCTTCGCCGCCGCTGCCGCCGCCGCCTGCGTCTTCGCGCCTACCCTCTTTAGTCTTATGTTCTCTGCCATGCTGATGGACGTCCACCATGGCGAACGCCACGGGATCCGCATCGCCTACAGGACGGACGGTCACCTCCTGAATCAGTGGCTAATACACTTCCAGTCGCGTGTTTCCATAACCACCGTCCATGAACTTCTCTTTGCTGACGACTGCGCTCTCAAGGCCACCTCGGAAGGGGACATGAAAAGGGAGCATGGACCTCTTCACCGCTGCCTGCGACAAGTTCGGCCTGGCCATCAACATGAAGGAAACGGTGGCCATGCATCAACCGTCATCCGACGCTACCTATGTCGCACCCCAAATCAACGTGAACGGCGTCCAACTACGAGTAGTAAACAGATTCACCTACTCGGGCAGCACCCTCCCCCACAACACTAACATCGACGATGAAGTGACCCGCCGGATCCCGAAAGCCAGCCAAGCCTTCGGCCGTCTGCAAAACACAGCATGAAATCGCCACGGTCTCCACATCAGCACCATACTGAAGATGTACGAGGCCTTCATCATCCAGACGCTGCTATATGGAGCGGAGACCTTGATAGTGTACAAGAAGCGGGCGCGGAGACTCAATCACTTCCAACTCAACTGTCTTCGACAGATACTGAAGTTGAGATGGCAGGACCGGATCGCAGACGGGAAGCCTCAGCATCTTCGTCATTCTGAGACGACTGCAGTTGCTGTAACTGCGTTGGAGCGGCAACCTCGTGCGGAAGGACGTCGAACGACTATCCAAACGACTCTTCTATGGATATGTCGCCACGGGTTCTCGCTGACAGGAAGGCCAAATCCATCGTCATGAGGACATTCTAAAAACTTCCATGAAGCGTCTGCAGATCAACCGGGCCAACTGGAAGACCTTGCTCGAGGAGGATAGCGAAAACAGGCGCGACGATCTATGAAACCAACCGCTTCACCGCCGCCAAAGCCAAACGCAAGGCTCGCAAATCCACGCTGCCAGCGGACGTTCCGGGCGCCAATCGGTCTTTTAGGACATCTTCGTACCAATTGCAGCACCCAGACTACACCAGCTGCTGTCTCCTCGTCCAGTTTTGCCTCATTTTCCACGCCGACAGCCAGCATTGGCCGCGCTCCCGAACCCCCATTACCATTCTCCTCCTCCTCCTCCTCCTATTCCTTTGCTTCAGCTCCGCCACTGCGCCTCCTGTACCTTCCACCACCGCAAACAATCCTGACCCACCAACAACCATCAACTCTCCCCCAGTAACAATCCCCGCGACGTTGACTCTATCCATACCTGTCCTCATTACGACCGCACCTTTACCTCACACATCGGCCTGGTCGATCACTTGTGAATCCATCGCACGGATGCTGGCGAACCAGCGCCACCCTATAACCATCACGCTCGTCTTAAGTGCCCACCCTGCCCTCGCATCTTCAGGCATCGCATGGGCCTATTCGGCCACATGCGCATCCACGAGGACCTGCGGTAGACAACCGCACTGGCCGCATTCGCCTCCACTGTCCACACTGCCCCCGCACATTCATGCACAACATGGGTCTACTCGGTCCCACGCGTGTCCACGAGAGCAGAACTGACCACAGTCTCGACACGCCTAACACCTGCACGTCCGCCATGCCTAGCTCCACCCCGCTGCCCAGCAAACCCAACACCATCAGTTCCCTCACATCCAGCATATCTGGCACATCCACCATGCCTAGCTTAACCCACACCCCGTCGCCCAGCATGTCCACCATCAACAATTCCACTACCGCCACCATCACCGTAGCTGACAATGATGCCACTGACCTTTCCTGTCCCCGTACGTACATCGGCCTGGTCGGTCACTTGCGAATCCATTGCAAGGAGACTGGCGAACCAGTGCCTGAAACACCAACCTACACTCGCCGCATCCCCCTCCTCTGCTCACATTGCACTCGCACATTCTAGCACCGCACAGGCCTCTTCGGCCACATACGTGTCCACGAAAACCTGCGGTAGACAACAACCGGTTGCGCCACACCATCACGTCTTCCTCCAACTGCATCACACAACATCCTCATCCACCACAAACATCCAACTGCCATCTCCCACGCAGGTGGGAAGCGTGCGTCTCGGCTCCGTCTCCATGCGACTCGTCTGCTGCATGTGTGATCCGAGTCCGAGACTATCAAGGTGCCTCAAGCACCATGGATTAGAAGGCTTTTGACTGACGCCCAACTCAGTCCACGCAGTCTGCCCATTTATGTGTGTGTTGTGTGGAGTGGTGGACTGGTGGGCTGAGAGTCAGGCTGAAGCGGGTCCTTCTTAACGTGACCTACGGCACTCTCACGCATTTGAGATGTACCTCACTCAATCCCCGTTGTGCGAAATCCTGGTGCTTGTGTTTTTGGGGCCAGGTCGTGCATGTGATGCGCGCAGACGAGGTCACTAGACTATGTCAGCCACCGCGCTCATTCCCCGCACCAGTCAACTGACCGGCTCGGACAGTGGCTGAGGCATGAAAACGGGAAGGGACTCAGCGCATTTCCCTAACTACAAATGACCTGACGCGTTGAAAGCTACCACGGTGCGCTAAAAGCCATGGCTTAGAAGTTTGTCAACTGATGCTTGTGTGGTGTGGCCGACTGATGTCCCAAGAGTCAGGCTGCAATGGCTCCTTCTTAATGCGGCCTCTATGGCACTCCCACTCCGTGGGAGTCGAACCAGGTGGGACGTCACGCCTGGGTGCGACCCCGGCCGCACCAGCTCCTTTTGCTGTTGTTGGTCAAAGTCCTGTTCATTTGCTGTGTGAACCAGGGGATGTGAAGTAGAACACCTAGGTGCAGGTTTTCGCTATCCCAGCCACCTCCCGACTCTGGTCTTCTTGACCCTGATTTGACATAGGATTCAGATGGGGGAGGAGAGATTGTGGTAGATGCCGCGCAAGTCTACTATTACCATAAGCTAATTCACGCGCGAGTCACCGTCCCTGCTCCTCGCTGCTGTGAAGCACACGGTGAACATCGCCGAACTCGACGGTTGAACTATCGTGTTGATAGGTAGTTCGAGATGTGCTAACGGGGTATGGACTAGTTTTTTAACGGAGATTTTGACGGCGGAGCACTTGGACGGGAGAAATAAATGTCCTGGGGCAGTGTTGGCAGGGGAGGCTGGGGTGACGTGTATATTTTGCTGCTCCTGGCACTGATCGCCGGTCTCAGTACAATTGGTAGGCATGTGACCGACGGGGAAGATTCATGATGAAAGGATGCTTTCGAAGTGGGGCCAGGTTGTTATTGGGTCTAAGTTACGGGTGGTAGACGTAGTAGTGGTGATGTCTTACCAGATGATAGGAGCGTCCTCACTGGTTATGGTAGTGGTATTCATGATGTGACGTGAGATGCGAGGCATACTGACGCGCACTTGATCCGCAGTTGTCCAGCCAGGTCGATCCATGTCCGGCATAAACTAACACTACCACCACACGCACTGGCTGGCATCTTTGATGACAGCCGCTGTTTCAGACAGAACAGAATAAATCTTTCCTTCTGGTGTCTTCCAACCTCTCCGATTAGCCGTAAATTAGCTTGATGTGAATGGTGGTTGAGGCATTCCCAACACAGTTCCGCCCCATAGAGGGGCAGGCTGGACACGGACATATTGGCCAACCGTACGACAAGTGGTTTTGCGCTAAATTCCAGGAGGACCAACTCCCGTGTCCCTCATTCCCTAACCTTCCTAGTCCTTACCCCCACCCTGGAATTTGGCGCGAGATCCACTGTACTATGCGGGAGGGATCGGTCCGAATTCCCCCTGCCCACCGAGTTGCGTTCTCTGGAGCATAGCTCCTCACAGGCTCCGACTGTAAAGGTTTGACTGGCTTCGGATATCTGGACTGTGACTTCGTCGTCGATATGGATGTTTCCAGAGAACATGAAGTTTAGGGGGATGGGGCGAACGTGCGGCCCTGCCTCGTCGACACTTCGACAGACGATGCTCCCCACGTGACCCGCGTGTGAACTAGTTTATGGTAATGACAGGCTTTCGCAATATCTGTCGCATCCTCTCTCCCCTTGCCCCCCTAGGTCCGATGGCAGGACCGATTCAGTACGACGGGAGGCGGGATCTGGAGCAGGTGAGGGACAAAGTTAGGCAGACGGTCGACGCGTGTCACATGACGACGGTTAGACTGTCGATTTCAAAGATGTCTGCCGTGTGCTCCACTAAAGGATGAGTTACGCGTGAGTTGGGTGACGGCAGGCTTGCACAGCATCCACCGCACTCTCTCCTCCTCCCCTCACCTGCCAAGAGGACCGGAGGTGGGAGAAGCCGCAGGTCGACGAAAACCAGCACCCAGGCGGGAATTCCAGTTGGCGCGGCGTGAGTCCGCAGCTGGGCCTGCCACTGCATCCCGAATGTTTGCATCTACTATGGGTGCGCATTCCCCATAAAGCATGCCAGAATCCGATGTGAATTTCGTGTTGGTCCAACGCGCCTGCCTTGTGGCTCCTTTTTAGGGGGCGGGGGGGGGGTGGGGGCACGACCTGTTCCGCACATTATTCTGAAAACCGAATTCTACCCTTCCTTCGAGTATAAAATTGGGAGAAGGCGTAATTATCTACCGAATGAGCGAAAGAATATTTTTATGCATGTTTTCCATGAAATATAACTGGACTTTTAGGGGCATCGAAAATCAACGAGAAAAATGCATGCTATACAGGTTGTCATTTGTTACAGGTTTTATTAATTTAACAACCCTTCTTAATTGATCATTTCGAAATGAAAACGCATTTCTGAATTTCGGTTGACATTTCATGAGTTAGCCCACCTACTGTACGATACTAGAAAAAAAGTGAATACTGCATCACGTTTTGGGAGAGAAACGCCTACAAAAGTACTCCAACGGCTTTCAAATTTTTGACACATTTACGTGTTTCGAAAATAAATCTGAATACTCAGATCAGTGGCATGTTCCCCATGATGGTTTGGGAGCAATACGCATATAGGAGTGACGTTACAACACGCCTTAAAAATGTAATACTTTCGGGATCATTAAAGACCCATTTTTCTAAATATTAGCTCACAATGAGATGCAATTTCAGAAAGAAAAAAAGAGATGGATACTAACAGTCTGTATCTAAAATCAAATATTCCTTTGGGAGGCGAACATACGACAGAGGGACACTTAATGTAAATAGAACTAATTTACTTAAAATATAAGGAATTGCGAAAATTAGTAAACAACGGATAGAGAAGAAGGAGAAAAGGCTAAGCAAGTGATTGGAAAATTGTTTCATTTAATTGCTGTTTTTAAAATACATAAAAATTTATTCCATTTGTCTAGACCGTAAATCACTGGCAATACGTCAGTTGAACAGTTCGACTCCCGTGACCGACGATGTCCACCGTGTGCTCAACGACAAAGTGAAGCAAGCACGGTGACTTGTGCAGCATCTGCCGCACTCTCTCCTCCTCACCCACCTGGAGGTGGTGTCAAAACAGAGTTAAGAAGACCGTAGGCGGGGAGAGCGCAAATGGATGACACGATGGCGCCTTGGCGTTTCACTCCACATCCCTGGTCTACAACGAACACTTGACCAGGATTTTAACCAACAATAAAAATGGAGGGTTAGGACCGACCAATGGGCGCGACGCGAGCCTGCAACTGGCCCTGTCACTGCACCCCGAATGTTGACATTTGTTAAGGGGTGTGTATTCTTGATAGCGCCTGTCAGAAGCTGATGTGGTACCTGTGTTGGTCCAGCGCGTCTGCCGCGTGGCCTCTTTTCAGGGGGCACGATCTGTTCCGCACACTATTTACCAAGTTCTCACGGAAACAAGGGGGGGGCGGTTCGGATCCCGTCCGAGTGACAGTGTCATGGAGGTCTTATTGAGAGAAGGAGTCATTGCAGTCTGACTCTGCGTCCTGAGAGAAATGAGTTATCTCGCCAGCTGCCAGTCTTCCAAGCCATAACTATCTGCGTATCGTGATATATTCAAAGCGCACCTGATAGTTTACGGTGAGGAATTATGCGCTGATGTGCCGTGCGGACGGATTCCCTACGAGTCAGATCCAATTTTTCTTCCCTCTCCCACGTATCAGTCATCCACCACATCACCTCATGTGGCATTTGTCATTGGATGCGCTGATGCAAACCTAAACGGGCCACGCGATAGACACCCTGGACCGACGCCGAAACTAGACCAGAATCCGGCGGGCGTTATCGGGTATGCACACGTTGTGGACCAGGGGGTGTGATGGAACGTCTAGGTGCGGGAGTTTTGCTGTGCTAGCCACCTGCGCCCTCTCTCGCTCCCGGACTTCATGACTCTGTCTTTACACGGGGCCCAGACGGGGGAAGAGGGGAGAGTGGTAGACGTTGCGTAAGTCTACTACCACCATAAACTAATTTAAGCGCAATTCACCATCCATGCTCCCACCCAGCTGTGAAGCACACACACACACACACCCATCACCGGTCGTGACTGCCGAACCGTCGGATGCGCGAATTCTGCACAGCCCAGTTAACATGTACCATATTCCCTATCCCTCGTACGAGAGGTGGGACAAAACCTCAAGTTTGAACTTTCGTGCTCTTTCTGCAACCCTACCCAGGAGTCGCAGCTGAGTCTGAAACCTTGGGAGTGAAAAAATCAGATAGCAGAGCGTGGTTTCGATCCACGGACCTCTGGGTTATGGGCCCAGCACGCTTCCACTGCGCCACTCTGCTACGACATCGACCCGACTGAAGTGTTTGGAGAAGGCATGGCTGGGCATGCGGAGAGTGCGTGCGTACAGAAATAAAGCTACAGTAAACTTCAGTGCAATCCGATTCCTCGAGTAGTCGGATTGTACAGGTTCTCACAGAAACAAGGGGATAGCTCGGATGCCGTCTGAATGAGAGTACCCTGGAGGTCAGAGTAAGACGGAGCCATTGCAGCCTGTGTGAGCCGACCAGTCGTCTGAT